TTCCTTGATAGCTTTTTCCACCTCACTTTGTAAAATATATGGTCCTTTCTCGTCTGTATCTACTTCTTCTTCCGGTTCAACTTCTAAGGTTTCTGGCCGATTAGGTCGATCATATAGTTCTGAAATATAATTTTCCCAAATTTTCAGCACTTGCCTCTGATCTACTATTCTATTCCCCTGGGAGTCTTCGATGCCAACATTTTGAATCCCATGATTCTCTTTCCATCCTAGTTCTTTTGTCTTCATGTACATTAAATCATAACAGCCTGTTCTTTGAAATTCCATAATCTCATTACATATCTTCTCAAGATATTCCTTTTTGGCCCTGTCCGTGGCTCTTTTCAATTCATTCCTCAGTCTCCTGTATTTCCTCCTGCCTTCTTCATTGTATCTTACAAAAAAAAAATGTAATGAATACTGAAAATTTGGTATCTATTCATCTTCCAGTTCAGTATTGGATACGATTATATAGCAGAAACTAATAATATATGTTAAAGAAATGCAATTACTATTGAAAATCTTATGTTCATGTTCACCAGTCCAGTACAGGTAGGATTATATGGCAAAAGCAAGAGAAGGAATACACCTATAACAACAGAAGTGAATAACAATGTAACAAAAATGAAATAGGTAAAGAAATTACATAAATAGTCCTACCCACATTCAATCCCAATACTTATTCTGCTTCTCAGAGTTGCACACCTCGGTGGATAACCTGAACTTTGCAAATCAATTATAAAGTAATGCCTCTTCATTCTTACCTACACGTAAAGAAGTTTTGTGAATGTAATTGAACTGTGGTTGACCATGTTATCATTCACTGCAACATGTTTGCAAAGCGGGAAAGAGATGGAGCTCAAATTCAAAGTAGGTTTCTTGTGTGTAATTGAACTGTGAATGACAATGTTATCATTCTCTGCACAGTAGTTTCTGTTGCTGCATTGCAACTGCTTGTCACCAGGGATACTTTCTCCAACTTATGAAATATTTAATGATGCTCATGTGACTAGTTGGCATACATATTCTTCCACTAATTTCATAACTGCTCTCTGTCAATTTCCAGGGCTGGTATGGGCAGGACATTATAAGGGAAAAATGAAGAAGCATTACTTTCCTAATGACTTACCGATGAGACAGCATCTTCATCTTACTCTCTGTGGCCCTCTGCCTGGCTGCTTCAGTCATCAACCTGTTTCTTCGCTTACACCACCAAGGAATGTAAATTTGTGTGAGACATCTCACAATACTATCTACTATTCATCGGTGCTGAAGCAAACAGCCAGAACACCTAATCCACTTGAAGTCAATGGTGCTCTTGATGGCAGCTGTGATATGCTGCTCCACTGAATTCAAGCGGGCAGCCTCTGTCATTATAGACTTCATCAGAGTTGCAGCAGTACCAACAGTCTCCACAAGCTTTTCAGAAGGATATGTGAGAGACTGTTCTGTATCACTGCACTCCTTGAAATATATGAAGACATTGGCTGATAGCAGCACTTCAGATGTCAGGCATGTCTTACATGCATCACAGCTGACACCAACAAGCACCTGTCTGGCAATGGAACCAGTGACGTAAGCTACTGAGAACACTTCCATGTCACCAGCAGGTACTGCAGGACTCATGTCCATCTGTACTTGCTGAGCAACATGGAAACTCTCAGGCACACCAGCAGGGGTTTCCTTGTCATGACTTGTGGAAGGATTCTGTGAAGCAGCTTCAGGTGCCCTGAAAAGCGAATGTAGATTATCCAGAAGAGTAGCACCATCATCCTCACAATTAGTATCCCCCAGTCCTCTAAATGCAAGGCCATTGATGATGCTAGTCTTCAGGGCATCTACAAACTGTCCCACAGTTGGATTATTGTTTGAAACACAGTTCAAATGAATAGCTCCATATGTGTTCTCCAGGGGGTCCTGATTCAGGTTTTTGGTGTGAAGGTACTGAAAACCCGCCTCTTTCAGTGTTCTCCACACATGCTGGGCAGCAGTGATGTCAATCAGCCACCCATTCTGAGAAGGATTAGGATGAAGAAAGGCGGGTTTACCATCCTTGAGGAAGATCCAACTCTTTATCTCCATACTGTCTGTTGTCACTGAGTGGGCAACACAGTGTTTTCCCTCGGCCAACACTTGTTCCACCATTGAAACTATCGAAGAGGTTGTCAACCTCCTCAACAAACACACCTGTTGCCATGTATTCGCTGTTGCACCCACCTGAATGGAGGGGGGGAAAAGAAGTTAGTGTGCCTCCTTACATGGTGAATTATACGTAGTTTCTTTACATTGGAAAATAACACATTACTTTACAAAGGACTAACGTTATACAAAACTTGTATATTTCATTACATTATTCCTCATATTTAAATCTCTGCCACCTAATTCATCTTAATCATATCACTGATAGTGTCATCTGCTTTACAAATATTTTTTAATTATCCTAAAACAGTATTTATGACATATTCTACATAACTTGTATATGGATATACAGTTTCAGAAGTCAATTCAAGTCAGATAATGACATTTGATTACAACTGGGTTCTGAGGCAGTAACTCTGAAAACTAGTCCTCATTATTAGTCACTTCATTCATAAAAGAAACATATAGTGCTTACCTGTAGCCACTAGAGCATTGAGGCTTGCTGCAACAGTATGGCTCATGACCTGTGCAGCCAAGTGCACACTCATCGAGCTCTGTGCTGTGGGGTTTAGGTGGGTGTCTGTCAGCCTGTACAACAGGCGAAATGGTCTGGGTTTGTTGATTTCATACAGTTTCAATATGTGGTCCCACTTAGTAATAACAGGAAGTTGGGTGCCCACATGCTCAGACTTCAACTGCACATCATGTTTCAGGAGAAGGTTCCGGGTGCATTTCAGAAGGTGGGGTGGATCATACACTGTTGCAATTTCTTGATTGCGAAATCTGAAGAGTGGTTTCCTTTTGGAAGCACCCAACAGTTTCAAGGCCTTGACATTGTGGGCACCCATGTCACACTCAGTGGCAACCACCTTCAGGCCAGCATTCTGACAGAATGAAGAACCTCCTTCAAGTATTGCACAATCATCTCTGCCTTTGTGCTTTCATGAGTAAAGTAGTAAGCCACTGGCTGCTTCCACTATCTCCGCAGGCCACGGATCATGAAGAGCAGAGCATGATTTGCAATGCTGCAAGTCCTGCCCTGACTTCTACAATCCTCAAAACCCTCAATGCAGTCAAACTTCTGATTGAAATGCAAGTTCTCTCTGGTTGACATTTCATCAAACATGAGACAAGAATATCGATCTCTACCAGACATTTTCTGCAGAGACTGTTCGAGTGCACGAAACACATGAGCATTGATGCCAGTCATAAATGGAACAGTACTGAGGACAGACTGCAAGGATCATCTGGATGGGAGGGAGAGTAGTGTACAGAGAAGGATATAGGATTTGGGACTACGCTTAAGGAGAGACAGAGCCAACACTTTCTCTTCGAAATCCCACCTCCTTCCCTGAGGTCTCTGCCTGGTGTTCCTAATAATTTCTGCCAATAATCTGGCAGCCTCTACACTGAGAGAAGATGAAAGTCTCTCCATGAATTGATCACTGTCCACATCACAGAGATTTTCCAACTTCTTTCCTTTGTATTTATTTTTGAGTTTACATAGTGCACTCTCCTTATTCCGAATTTGTTCATATAATTTCCTTTTCCTCGGTGTCAATTCAGAAAGCGAAGCCAAATTAAGTTCTTTCAGCAGAGAATGGCTTGCTCTGGGCTTTGAGGAGGAACTCTGACAACTGATATGCCCGAGTGCCCCATCAGAAGCATATATATTTTCAGAGCCTAAGAGATAGGAGGTTTCTTTCACTGAAGAAGTGTTGCCTGCTGTTGGTGATGATTAGATTGCAGACATGTGAAAGGAAGTGGAAGGACTGTCTGCAGTGTCTTGCTGTAGGTTCTGGTGGGCGGTAGGACATTAAGCTCACGTTCGGGAGTTAAATCTCAAGTCAAGGGATCAAAGGAAGAGGTGTGTAATGAATGATCAGGAGGTTGTGGGAGTGACTGTGCAGCAGAATCTGTGCCATATGGAACTGCACATCTGTTAAGGTGTACCCTTTCAGCTGTAGTGAAATCACTTTCAGAGAAATGTTTGCTGCACAGAACTTTATTGTACAGCATTCTAGCAGAATCAGTAGTACAGGATAACCCAACTCTTCCTGCCCATACCATAGCCCTGTAAGAGTATTACATATTGTCTCAAAACCTTGAAGTAATTCATCAGTAAACATTACAAACATGGTGTAGGTGCTACATTACATCATGTACTAAAATAGACATTCATTCATTTATTTACTTTCCATTAATCCTTACATGGCTGGAAGAACAGTGGATATAGTAATAGTCAAAGACAACAGGACAAGTTCCATCACTGATATAAATAAAAATTAATTATATTTAACACATAACAATTAGACATATTATCAGAGACAAATCACAGTGAGTAAATCATTAACACAGTTTTAAAATATATATGTGAGAGAATGCAGCACACTAATGACACAAAACTACAATAATGAAACATAACAGTATACTACTAGGCATCCAGCATATAACAGACCAAGATCATTAATTAAGTTAAATTATTCCTCCAATGAGTAAAATAGACTTACCCTTTGGTACCTCTCTTTCACATAGGATTTTATCAATGCACTGGCCTTACCAACTATTCCATAAATTCTACTTTAGACAGAGAGATGGACAGACAGATATTGACACAGTCAAAAGTTTTCTTCAAATCACAGAAAATGCTGATGGACATTATTGGTATTAATGTTGTCCAGCTTTTGTTCGAAATTAATTATTAAAAGAATCTGTAATCACATCATGATTATCAGTTAACTTCCCATCAATGTTTAAAAACTGTATACCTGCATTATTCATTTTTCTACTTGTGTCTGATTTTATAATGCTCCAGGTGGTTTTCATTTTGTTACTAGAATTAGTAATTAATTGATTATAATGAAGATTTTTAGCTCCTTTAATAACAATTGTCATTGCTGTGTTTCAATCTGTCCTGATATACCAGAATCCCCTGAATATGTGAATGGTGTTGAAAGCAAGAAGCCGCTGCAGCACATATAGACATAGAGCAGGTATCCCTGTGATTTAAATAAAAAAAAGAATTAAATTTAAATCGATGAGTGTATATTAACAGAGATTTTAAACATAACTGACAAAATCAGCAAGGGGATTCTGGTATATCAGGACCGATTGAAACGCAGCATATCTGTGCCCCACGTGTTTGTATGTAATACATGTGTGTTTGTCTCTGTTTTCTGTGTTCTACTACTGTTCAGTGTTGAGATAACACCTCAACTCACTGACTTACATCACAATAATGATGGATATTATATTTGTAACTGGCGAGGGGCTAACCTCATAACATATCACAGAACTTAGTAGAAGGAGTGACTCCAGACTTCATAAAGAAACAGGGATGTATAAGTCTTCAAGACAATTCCAAGTGACATAATCAGAACTTCAGTTATTTATATAGACACTCATTGATATAGTGACAGGCTACAGGCTGGATGGTGAGGGTTTGATTCCTGGCAGGAGGAAGATATTTTTCTCACCCTTGGTTTTGAGATGAGGTCAAGGAAATGGTGGAGATTTATCTCTACTGCCCCATACATCTTCATGGCATGATACTTTATTAATTAATAACATGAGCAACTTCATCTTTACTTTATAACAATACCAGAAGAATGTAAACAAAAAATTCTTCATTGTGCGATTTTCTTCATTTCCTGCTGACATTCATCTCCAGTAAACTACAATATTTTTTGCAGCTGTAGTGATGCATTTATACTCCACAGAAACAATGACAACTATGGACAAGAAGGATGTGGACCTGAGAAACAGCAACATCCTGGAACTATTTCAGGGTGCTCAGGTCCTTCTCACAGGAGCAACAGGATTCATGGGTCAGGTGCTGATGGAGAAACTTCTCCGCACCTGTCAAATAGACAAACTCTACATAATCATCAGACCTAAGAAGGGAATGACAGAAAAGGAACGCCTTAAGAAAATATTTGATAGCAGTGTAAGTCTATTTTTGTATTCTTCTCATAAATCCAGCCAGTAATTCCTAGATTTGTAGTATTGTTTAACAACATACTGTTATGTTAAGAAGATTATGGTGGTAAGGTGGTACAGCTTATTTTGTTTAAATGAGAGGTGCTGTGCCTGTGATCAGACAGACGTTAGGTTCTCAGCACTGAGAGAGAAGTTCAACTCCAGTGCAGTTTTTATTGTAAAGGATATACTGAAATGATATGTTCTGATGGAATGCCTCCATGATTCTAAAATTAAACCTAATGGAAGTAAATTAAAAGATCTGTAATGGAAATGAAAAGACTGTGTTTTGGAACATCATGTGTGTCTATAAAAGCTTAAGATTTTCAATACAGAGAGAGAAAAAAAAACATGTTAATCCTGATTAAGAGATGGGCATATTTCATGTTGTAATATACCTGTAACAGGACAATTTATCTACTAGTGGGAAGAATAATGTTACAGTCCCTTAAATACACTTATAATCTTGCTGTAAATGCTTTGCTGCTGCATTAGGGTCAGAGTAATTTCTTCTTGTAGTCTGGTCCTTAGTATTATCCCTTCAAGGAACTCTTTGTTTCACTATTGCAGCTGTATGAACGACTACAGCGGGAACAACCAAACTGCATCAGCAAAGTTGTTCTTGTCACAGGTGACAATGAACAACGAGGACTTGGACTGAGCAAAGAGGACCATGCTCTGTTAGTCCATCAGGTTAACATAATATTCCATGTTGCAGCAACAGTTCGTTTTGATGAAAAACTTACAACAGCTGTTGCCATCAACATTCTAGGAACTAAGGACATGCTAGATCTAGCAAGAGAAATGCCACATTTGAAGGTGAGCTACCACACTGTATGAAAGCACCTCGTCTTATATTATCTGCTTAAAATTGAAGAAGTGATGTTTCCCAGCAATGTACCTGACATGTTGTATACTCAATAACTATTCAGTTTGATTCAAAGCTACAAACTGACTAACCTCATTGAAGCTTTCACTGTTTTCCTCAGTCTCTCTCAGTGAACGTAGTGTTATACCTTTAAATGGCCCACAGCCCTGGCTCTTGCGTTAATCCTCTTTCATAATTTATAATAATTCTAAACAAACCCAGTGCATTTCTGAATAATGAACAGATCTAATTTTGGGATTGATTCCACTATCAGAAGACTTTTAAATGACTTATTTATGCCTACTGACATTGAAACATGATGGGATAGAAGTGTGCACTGTTTCATGGACATTGGTATACAACCTGACATAGACAGAATGCAGTCTCCAGCAGACCCTCAAGGTACTCACAGTGGTGTACTGAGTGCACACAGATACTAGGAAGGAGGGAACTTTTCCAGAAAGGTAAGATCATCTGCAGAGTAAGAGTGAGTTAAGAAGCAATACTCAGTGAGGGCTAGACCACTTTTATATCACGATTTAAGTTTTGGTTGTAGGTGGAAGATTACTGATTAACTTAATACTTGTATTTTGAATTGTTTCATTTTTGGTCCGTTACACTATCAATCACAAAGTCAATAGAAAGTCCGTCTAGTGTAACAATTTGTAGGTCACTTCTTTATCACTTCTGCCTTACATGTTTCGGTTTAATACAACCATCATCAGAGGCACATAGTACAATCATGAAAACACTGTCGTTGTTTAAGATGTACACAGTTATGTTTGCTGCGTGGACGCTGCTACAATATGTCGACGTGTAAAAGCACAACACTTGCTAGGATTGTTGAATGCACTATCAATTCTCACATTCCATCCGAAACTGCCCTCAAGTTAAAACGCCAATGTTAAAATATTTAAAAA